GGTCTGAACAGGCTCAGATAAAAACACTACGACATAATTAGCCGCACTACAAATGGGACAGAAAGGGTTAATGTACCAGGCAGATGAGGAACCATTATCATGTGCCCTGCCAACTGGCGTGGGTGCTCATGCGTCTCCACAGATCATGATCCCTGGTTGACTGGAACAGCTCTCTTGATGATATCCCTCTATGCCATCGTTTCAGCCCATACAGCATCATCTCTATTGGTCTGCCTCTACCCCTTTTTCCACTGATCTTTCAAGTTGTCACGATCTTCTCCAATGTCTGTCTTCTTGTTATGTGGCCAAAGAACAGTGTTTGTCTCTTTATTTTTGTTGTATTTAGAGATTTACTTTCATTAGCTTCTTTCAAGCACATGATGATGAGAAATACTGAGTTAAAATAATAACATGAAACTATGAAATAGTAAGAAAACATTACTTGCGTTGTTATTGAAACAAAAGAAAACATCATGGACATAAAAGATTACACAGATAACACCCTGAAAGAATATTTGGTATAAAAAGCAAAGAAACCATCAGAGGCAAAATATGTTTACAAAAGACAAAGAAAATACTGCAGAGAGTCAAACTACCTTAGACTCGAGGAGTTCTTCATCATCGTCTTCAGTTAGGTCTAACCCTGTTTCCTCCGACTCCTCTTGGCTGGTCACCTGCATGTCCTCGTCCCTGGGGAGGTTTCTGGAAGCTGGTGGAGACTGTAAGCTGTTGATTGTGGTGCTGGAAGCCGAGGACCCATAGCTACTGGCCAGTTTGTCCAGGGCTGTGATCTGTCTGGAAACCAGAAACCCCCAACTGTCTTGTTTAGTCATGGTTGTTTAATAAATGTTTAGTGTGTGATGTTAACAAGATGCTGCTCTGTGGATGTTTAGTGTATGTTTCCCAGATGCTTTTCTGTGGATGTTTAGTGTATGTTTCCCAGATGCTTTTCTGTGGATGTTTAGTGTATGATGTTTACAAGATGCTGCTCTGTGGATGTTTAGTGTACAATGTTTACCAGATGCTGCTCTGTGGATGTTTAGCGTATGATGTGTTCCAGTTGCTGCTCTGTGGATGTTTAGTGTATGTTTACCAGATGCTGCTCTGTGGATGTTTAGTGTATGATGTGTTTCAGATGCTGCTCTGTAGATGTTTAGTGTATGATGTGTTCCAGATGCTGCTCTGTGGATGTTTAGTGTATGATGTTTAACCAGATGCTACTCTGTTTACTGTATGATGTTTAACCAGATGCTGCTCTGTTTACTGTATGTTTAACTAGATGCTGCTCTGTTTACTGTATGATGTTTAACCAGATGCTGCTCTGTGGATGTTTAGTGTATGTGTTCCAGATGCTGCTCTGTGGATGTTTAGTGTATGATGTGTTCCAGATGCTGCTCTGTGGATGTTTAGTGTATGATGTTTAACCAGATGCTACTCTGTTTACTGTATGATGTTTAACCAGATGCTAACTCTGTTTACTGTATGATGTTTAACCAGATGCTGCTCTGTTTACTGTATGATGTTTAACCAGATGCTGCTCTGTTTACTGTATGATGTTTACCAGATGCTGCTCTGTGGATGTTTAGTGTATGATGTTTACAAGATGTTGATCTCTGGATGTTTAGTTGACACTGTTTTACTGGAAGTTGTTAAATGAATGAATGTTTAGAGAAAACTATTTAGTGGGTGCAGTTTAATGACCAGTTAGTTAGATTAGGGCCCTTTAGGAGCGAGTGAATAGTGTGGAGGTAAATAGATCATCACTGTCTACGGTGAATAGTGTTACGAGAAGTGACCAGTGAATCTCTCAACAACTGTTTATTTTTATTTAACGGATGAACATCATGGCACACGGGTGTAACCCATAAGTGCTCCATTGTACTTCAAACTCAAGCCTGAGTCTGAAGGATCTCAGCGCAGTGCACAAACTCCGCTGCACCGGCAATTAATGGAAGGTAAGACAGATATACAACCGGATTTGTTTCTAGGGCTCTGCAACTGCTGCCGTAGACAGCGACATAGCGCTTACACCCTGAGTGCTGTGATGTTTATTCCTAATTCATAATACAACATTGCATGCTGTTAAGCAGACGTTTACGAGTTTACTGGGTGGATGCTCTACTGAACACAGCTGGCTACTAAAGACACCCGTTCCATTACTTGAGACTTAGTGGGCATACTATGCCAGTCCCACCGACAAACACATGACTGTCAATTTAATTGGTCTCTTCGTAATGAAATGGAGCAACTGACTGCTATCTCTCTCTCCTCTCTCATTCTCTCTCTCTTTCTCTTTCTTCCCTCTCTCTCACTCATTCACTTTTCTCTGTTCATATTTTATTGTGCTTAGAATTAAAATTATATAATATAATTCATCAGATAGAAAGAAAAGAAACTATCATTTTCTCTCTCTCCCTTTCTCACACACATACACAAACAAATAATACCCCTCTGTTCATATTTAATTGTATCTACCCAGATTTGATGACACCCACCAGGAATGAATCGAAAAACCAAAATGGGCATTTCAGAAATGTACAATTCTGCTGTCTGACCAAACATACACACACACAAATTCACAACACAGAAATGTGACTTGAAAGGTCACGTACAGGCTGGCCCTCTGAGGTCAGCATCCTCGAAAGGCATTCTTCATTTGAGGGAGGTAGAGGAGGAGAGAGAGAGGGAGGGGAAGGGGGGTGCCTTCTGGGTTATTAACGAGACCGAATAGGAATTTACTAAAAATGACAGAAGCTGTGACAATTAAAAGGAACAAAGCTGTGACAATTAAAATAAACAATCTTGCACTGCAAAATAAATGAGCATGTGGTAAATGTGATATTCCCATCCTTAGCTTTCAAGTGGTGAGATGCACATTTCAGATGAAAGGATTTTTGTGTCTTATTTTTATGTTGTAATGCACCTGACAAAATATGAAATTGTGCGCTTTTGTGTCCGCATCATTTAATAGCATTATTAAGAGTAGTGCAATAAAATGCCTGCCTGTCTGCATCAGTTCTCCTTATGCCTAGTGGTACATAAGGCTTCAAAGAGGGCTTTCCATGCTTTCCTGTCCTGTGCAATCTTCAGTGCTGTTTTCCATGTCAAAGATGCCGCACTCAGGTCACTTTCCATCGTTCGTCTCCATGTTGTTTTTAGACGCCCCTTTTTTTCTCTTTCCCTCTGGTGTAACCTGCCTGTCTTAGAATATGTGAAATGAGCTCTTGGCTAACTGCCTGAGATAATCATTAGTCGGCAGGGGACACTGCAGCTAGACCCTGATGTAGCCATTATGGATGCCCAAATATATTCTCTTGAGAGGCTGAACTGAATATATGAGATTTGGGCTCTCTTTTCAATACCGGACCGTAGCTGGACGGTAGCTGGACGGCTTAGTTCGGCTTAGTGGGAGTTCTCTCCCTTGGCCGCATTGCAAACAGGGAGCGGAAAAGTCACGAATCAAATGACATACTTACCTACCATCATACGTTTGCGTGCAGGGTTGCGTACGGTTGCGTGCAAGGTTGCGTAGTCATCATACGGTTGCGTGTAGGGTTACCTATCATCATACGGTTGCGCACGGTTGTGTGTAGGGTTGTGTAGTCATCATACGGTTGCGTAAAGGGTTGCGTAGTCATCATACGGTTGCGTGTAGGGTTGGGTAGGGTGTCTATCATCATCATACGGTTGCGTAGGGTGTAGGTTAGGGTTAGAGGTAGAGGTAGGGTTAGATGTGAAAATTTTGACGTAGGAGTTCCAAATACTGGCCGACAATCTGATGCTTGTGGGAGTGGCGCCACAGGAATTCTGCCAAATATGACGGCAATAGCGCGCGGCTGGTGCCCAATCGATGGCGAATTGTCCGTGTCAGTAGCATCCACAGTCCGTCGACTGTTTGCGTGTGTACGTGACTGTGCGCGATTATAGGGAACTCCTGCGTCAAAATTGTCACATCTAACGCTAAACCTAACCCTACCCCTAACCCTAAAACTAACCCAACCCCTAACCCTACCCCTACCCATGCAAATTTATCGGTCTTTAAAGCATACAGATCGGCAAAAACAAAAAACCAGATTTCCCCGCAGCGTCAAAAAAAAAACAGATCTGGGGGACACAACCAAGCATTGGCAGCCCTGATGTTGACCTCACTGTCTTCTTTGATTCGTGACTTTCCGCTACCTGTTTGCAATGCGGCCAAGGGAGAGAACTCCCACTAAAGCCGAACTTAGCCGTCCAGCTACCGTCCTGTATTGAAAGGAGAGCCGAGATTTGTTCTAAACAATATCAACAATATATCTCCCAGATAATGCCAGTTACAATGGTATCTCCCAGATAATGCCAGCTACAATGGTATCTCCCAGATAATGCCAACTATCTCCCAAATAATGCCAATTACAATGGTATCTCCTAAATAATGTCAATTACAATGGTATCTCCTAAATAATGCCAATTACAATGGTATCTCCCAGATATTGCCAATTACAATGGTATCTCCCAGATAATGCCAACTACAATGGCATCTCCTAGATAATGCCAACTACAATGGTATCTCCCAGATAATGCCAACTATCTCCCTGATAATTCCAGTTATAATGGTATCTCATAGATAATGCCAACTATAATGGTATCATTTAGATAATGCCAATAATCTGCCAGATAATGGCAACTACAATGGTATCTCCTAGATAAAGCCAACTACAATGGTATATCCCAGATTATGCCGCCTAAAATGGTATATCCCAGGTAATGTCAACTACAATGGTTTATCCCAGGAAACACAAACTAAAATGATTTCTCCCACATAATACCAAATACAATGCTATCTCGCTGATAATGCCAACTAACATTGTATCTCCCAGCTAATAACAATGATACCTCCCAGCAAAAATCAACAATGTCATAACCCAACTGACACTAACAACAGTCATTAGAAGCGGTAAAAATAAATTTACAAAAAAACATATTAACATTCACAGGGCAGACAAAATCAACAGTATAACTTACCTCACTGCATCTGAAACCATGTTGGTTATTTCTGCAGCAACACTAGAATCCATCAGAGGGATAATTGGACTTACAACTTCTACAGCTCTGTCAACTTTATCCTCAGCAACACTGTCATTATTATTAAACTCCTCATCTTCTTCCATGTCCTCATCACCAACGGCAGGAGGCAGAGGAAGACTCAGAGGCCGGCGTGGATCATACGATGTTGTTTCTTTAGTACTTCCTTTATCTTTAGAAAATAAACTATCTGAATTGTCAGAAACATTTTTAACAGTCGAATTATCAGTTTCTGCCCCCAAATGGTCAACTCCCAGGTCAGAATTTGATGCATCAGACTTAAAAGTTTGGCTGTTACGGTAGTCTACTCCTTCTTTAAAAACTGCATCGAGCCCAGGGATGAAGGAAGACGTGGAGATGCCTCCTGTGTTCACATTTTGGAATATAAAAGACTCATCCACTCTCTGTGAAGACAAAGATGTGTCCAGATCTTTAGGAACTGCCACTTCTGAGTGATCTCCTAAAGAAGCTTCTAGTGAACTCTTAGGACGTGAAGGTGATGATGATGCCTCTTTCACTGTAGAATCACTAGGGTGAGAAGCACCAACTGTGGATGCTTCTGCTGAAGATTCTGAAATTGCCACATTGGCAGACGCAGTGATTTCACTTTCTGTCCCTTTTGTGACATGGGTAATGCTGGTGGAGTCTGTAGCAACGAGGCTGTTGCCACTAGCTGAAATGCTGTCTGCTGGGGTAGTTGGGACAGCACCTGCTGGGGCAGGACTGCTGTCGCTGACATCACCGTTGATATTGGTAGAAGCATTAGTGGCAGGCGGAGTCAGAGAACTGATGTTTCCGGCACTTTCACCAGACGATATCTCATTCTCCTTGTTTTCTCTTAGTTTTGATGTTGGTTCTGGATTCTGTTCAGATAAATTTATATATATATATATATATATAAGGAAGGATAGAGGAAGACAACAAGAGAAGATTCTTGACAGTCTTGTTGTATGGCATGGAAGTGTGTCAGCACACGAAATAATGCATGCTACAAGAGATCGCGGATTGTGGAGAGGCGCGACCGCCCATGTATATATATATACAAATATATATATATATATATATATACATATACAAATATATATATATATATATATAATATATATATATATATATATATATATATATATATATATATATATATATACAAATATGTATGTATGTATGTATGTATGTATGTATGTATGTATGTATGTATGTATGTATGTATGTATGTATGTATGTATGTATGTATGTATGTATGTATGTATGTATGTGTGTGTGTATGTTTGTGTATAAATATATATATATATATATATTCCCACACATGCTCCATCCCCTTCTTCAGCAGCCAAACAGAGAAACCATACAGTGAAAGACTAATTCAACAGCATGTGAGAAGAAGTTCTGGAAGATAACAGATATGTCAATCAAGTGATTTAGTGTATTCTTTTATGTATGTGTGGTATTGTACATTTCTGTAATGTGTTTATGAAGGCTCACCAAGCTACACCGCTCACTTGTTGTTTGTGTTGGTGATTCTGCTGATCTGACGGGTTCTACTTTTCATCTTCTCTTAAATCTTTTCATGACCAGACAACTGTCAGGTAATCAGGCAATCGTAGTTCCAACTTTACAGCAAACGGCTCACCTATAGTTGCTCTGTTTCTGTACCAGTGAAAACCTCACTAAATGTCCATCACTTGACATAGACTGCAGTCTTAGAAAATCCAATAGCATAAAGACATATTAAATGCATAAGGCAGCCGTCAGAAGTGCCAACACAAACAGCCCCACATTAAAAATGCAGTCCATCATCAATGGAAGTAGCAGTTACAACAGAACACTAGTTATGCAAGCAATTAATCTCATTAAAGCACCAATAGTTCTGTGGTAACAAGCCACTGGCCACTTTCTGAATCTATAGTTAAGAACACAAACCATATTGGGCACAGTCAAAGAAAGCATTCCAAATCAAATTGGCAGCTCACAGTGTCGCATTATGCACTCAAGTCAGAAGCTAAGTAATGAAACTATATTCTTTTAATCTACATATGAAGGAATTTGCAACGGCCAACTACTGTTAAAAGCAAAAGGTGGCCACGACTAAAAACAGCAAACCAGTCTATTCTCACTACTGATCAGAACTAACAATTGTCTGCTTTCAATCATATAAGAGCAAAGTAATAAAATAATAAGGACAGCGAAGCTGGCCTTTTTCTTTTCTTTCTAAGACTTCAGCATGAAAGACTGACACACAGTGACATTTTTAGAACCCCAACCCCCAGAAAAAAATCTCTATCCCTTATCAAGGACGGAACCTGTTTCTTTCACCTGGGACCCGGAGCCAAGCATTCTGATCATTCAGCTATTCACCCCTCAACCATTAAACTGATCTCTGAAAACAGATGATAGGAAACCAGACATCATGAGCACAGAATAGAGCAGCGACAAGACTACTAACCTTTCCAGCAGCACCTTCAGCTAAGAAAATCGATTTAAACTTGTGATAAATGACTTCAGCCTTCTGTTGAATAGCGATGCTCTTCTTGAACTTGCGACATTTCTTAATGGTAGCCATGATGGCTGGGTTTTTCCTCAGCAGTAAAGGGTTGACAGGCATTGCTGCAAGATCTTCCAATATGGCCACACACTTGTCAATGTCCTGAGAAAAGAAAATATACGCTTATCATCATCACTTTGTGCCATGCTAAAAAGCATAGGCTGCCATGTATTGACATCTCATGCAATCACCAAAATCATTGATCAGGTCAGAGTTTGTTTCTTACCACATCCATTTGGCCAAGCAAAATACATAATTTACCTTGCAACTGTCCATTACATGGCTGAAAGTATGAGACTGATGGGTGAAATTATGTGACTGATAGGTGAAACTACATGACTGATGAGCTGAAAGCACATGATTGATGGGTGAAGCTGTGAATGATGGATGATACTATGTGATACAGGCTGAATGTAGGTAACTGATAGAGGGAAACACATGACTGATGGGTGAAAGTACATGACTGATGGGTGAAAGTACATGACTGATGGGTGAAAGTACAAGACTGATCGGTGAAAGTAAGATTAGTTGGGTAAAAGTATATTACTGACAGGGCAAAGCAATTGGGTAACAGTCCACTATTATTTGCTGAAGTACATGACTGATAGGTATGACTATGTGACTGATGGGTGAAACTTTGTCACTGATTGGGTGACAGTAAATGACTGATGTGTGAAAGCACATGACTGGTGGCTGAGAGTAGCTGACTGGTGGCTGAGATTACATGACTGGTGGCTGAGAGTACATGACTGGTGGCTGAGAGTATATAACTAATGGTAAATGTACATGACTGATGGGTGAAAGTATATGACTGATAAGTGAAAGCACATGATTGATGGGTAAAAGTACATGACCGATGGGTGAAAGTACATGACTGATAGTGAAAATACATGACTGATAGTGAAAATACATGACTGATAGATGAAAGTAAAATAATCTGACTGTACATAACTAATGGTATATGACTAATGGGTGAAAGTACATTACCGACAGTGAACGTACATGACTGATGAGTGAAAGCACATGACTGATGGGTGACAGTACATGACTGATGGGTGACAGTACATGACTGTTGGGTGACAGTACATGACTGATGGGTGAAAGTACAAGACTGATTGGTGAAAGCACAAGACTGATAGAGAAGGTACATGACTGATGGATGAAAGCACATGACTGTGAGTGAAAGCACATGACTGTGAGTGAAATCACATGACTGTGAGTGAAAGCACATATCTGTGAGTGAAAGTACATGACTGAGGGCTGACAGTACATGACTGATACTGAAGGTACATAAGTGATGGATGAAAGTACATAAATGATGTGTGAAAATACATAATTGATGGGTGAAAGTACATAAATGAAGGATGAAAATACAAGACTGATGGACAGGATGAAAGTTCAAGACCGATGAGTGAAATTACAAGATCAGATATACAAACAAATAAATGAACTTTATTTTGTGTCACAAATTAGGCACGCAAGCCTATCTTGCATTCTGCCCTTCCAAACACTTAATAATACACATACAAGAATATCAGGTAAAATACAAAAAAAAAAAAGCATGGGTGGTACATGCATACATACACGAATACATATATTTACACAAACACTCAAATACAGAGATAAAATGGAAACCTGGAACCGACAGGTGGAAAGTATACATTAAAACAAAGTGTTGGGACACAAATTCCCGCCCCCCTCCCCCCTTTCTCACTGTAATCATATGTTAACATCAAGTGTCACTTACCAAACTCTCGATGTTTAATGCTTTTTTAATCTCTGTGTCCATCTGAATGAGTGTGTTCTCGGCAAGACTGACTGTATGATGTAGGAATAAAACAAATAGTGGGTTTAAACAGTTCAAAGCGGTTTGGCAGTCATGGGTTGGTTTCAAGGGCTGCATCTTCCAGTTTATAAGCACAATTATTAAGAAGATCACCCTGATCATCGTTAGGGCTACACAGTTCAAGCTTTGTCAGACTCTCTCAACATGCAGTATAAAACCAGGGTACAGCCTTATAAGTAGCACAATGACTTTAGCTATCTCTTACACGTGTGACCAAAATTACTGCATCGTAATTTGTTTCTTTTCATGGATACCTGTGACAATGTGTCAGACTTTTAATCCATTTAAGAAACCTTTGAAAATCAGAGACTTTCAATAATTTGTAATTGAAACCTGCAAGGTTTCTGAACTACAATTTGACTATCTTATGAAAAATGGCATCAGGCAATGTTTACTGTTTGGGCTGGTGACTGGTCAACATCCTAAGTATGGTGATCTCACTCCATTTTTTTAATGTTCACTCTCAGAAGTCAGTCACCAAAGGCGCTCTTATCCACTGCAAAACTTCCATATATTGCACATGTTTAGGAATGTTCAACCACCTTTACTTTTAGCCCAGAATGAAGTTTTTCTCCTGCAATCAGACGCTCTACAGTATTCAACATATATAACGCATTGTCGTCTCTGCGATTTTAACTGATTGGTGCAGCTGTTGTTTTTGTGAGAATGTGGTGCCATTTGATACAAACAATACCAGCAATTCAAATCTGATGTGTGCAAAATTTAATGTGATTGTATTCATTATTCGCTGCAAAGAATATACGATATTGAAAAAGGCATACCAAAAAAGAAAAGAAAAAGGCACAGAGCGCAAGGTAGACCCCAAAAAATAAATGGAATTATATAATTATATAAGAGAAACTCTGCAAGAGTGTCAATATTTACGGTGGATAGAACAGCAAAAAGCAGAACTTAAATATCTCCCTAGACACCCGAAGCAGTAAAAGAGGAAGTGAAGAAGATCAATAGTCGCTGAGAAAAAAAATGTGGGGCACTGCTTTCTAAATGTCTCTTGTACAAAAACACAAAATGAGCATTAAAAAAAAAATGACCATTTTCACACTAGCAAGCACATTAGTCATTTAGTGTTATGCTCATAGTTTTACAATCAGTACTCAATGGGTGCTGTAGTCAAGATCACACAGGAGACCTTTACTTTCCATAACATTTCCTGGAACCCATTTTCAGCTGAATCAGCCAAGATAATTTTATAAACATCATGTGGATTCAAGCTCAAGCTCTTTAGGCCTGTAGTCCCTTTTTCACACCCGCAGGTGTTTTGGCCACACATGGCTAGACATATATTCTATAAACCAATGGGCACTAGGTCGTTATGTGGTTCAACATCACGCAGGATGGCTTTATCAAGGACTTGTAGCTGGTACTCATTTAAGGACTGGTCGACCTAGGAGTCAAAGTCATATTTTTTTTTTAACTAGCTCTGTTGAGATTTGTATCCCTAGGCCTGTGAGAAAGCACCTAAAAATTACCAATTATACTCACGGGTTATCTGCTCTTTCTTTTCCTTCTTCTTCTGCTCCAACTTCTCTTGTTTCTTCTGTTCCAGTTTCTCCTGTTTCTTCCTCTCCTTGTCAGAATGACTGAAAGATCATGTAAGTGATTAGTTTTCAGGTCCTCGCCCCCTGCCATCCCCCCCCCCCTCCCCCAACTCATGTCAGTATAAATCAGAATAAGACACTCAACAAAGACATAAACAGGCAGGGGCACTGGAATCTGTGGGCTAAGACCATCTACTTTGCAAGGAGACTAAGTGAGCATTCCATGCACGCCACTTAGGGACTTTATCTTTGAAAGTTTAGGTTTATACATTCCAAACGACTTGAAATATACTATACTTAACTGTAAATCAGCCAATAATGATCACAACATTAATATTTTTATTTTTTACTGTGCGCTTGGACTAGGTTTTAAACACCCCACCCCAGGAAATTATGAGGGGCCGAGGATCCCTTGCAATGAATTGTTTGTGGCAGCACCTTTAATCAATGGTACACGTTTATATAAAGTCTGAACATGCACACACAAATCAAGAACAATTAAATTTCAACAGAAATAAAATATTCCATAAACAATAATAGTTGGCTAATTCCAAATTATAATTTTTAACAAAATAATCAATGACAAAGCCCTGAGCGTGAAATGTGAGAAAGCCTGCCCACTAATAAACTGAAAAGCTTTTTTTTTCTTCAGAATACTAACCTTTTATGCTTGTCATCATCTTTCCTTCGCTTTGATTCTTCGCTGTGTGTTCTCTTTTTCTCATCTTTATTCCTCGCCTCATCCGATCTGTGATTGTGTCCTGTCTTGTGTTCACTGCTTGATTTGTGCTCCTGTGGACGGGTGGAAAAAAGAAAACAGAGGTGGTTACCTTTCGTTTATTTGTGTAGCCCTGTAAGTAAGTCAAGGATCATGTTCCCCGCCATCAGATGAATTGGGCATGTAGGGCTAGAACCATATTTGATAGACCAATCAGCATTTGGTGGGTGATGTGGTCAGCATCACACTGGCCGCCTTTACTTCCCAGAACTTTACCTGGTACCTACTCAAGGCTGAGTCAATCCTATTTTTTTTTTAAAGTCCGGCCCCATCAAGACCTGAAACCATGAATTTCCTATCCTCTGGCAAGCGTCTAGCCACTACGTCACAGCGGCTCCATGTTGCCTTGTGCCTGCGGTTAGTGTGATCATGTTTCATAATCCTCAAGCACCAAGGTTCAATTTCTGCATTGGACTGTTTAGGGGGAAAGTTCTTTTGGCTTTTCAGTCAGTGGTGGAAGAGTCGTACTATGGAAGCGATTGAGTCCTTACCATGTAACATTCCCACCACATACAGTTGTGGATGCACTGTAGCCAACTTACATAGTGGAAACAACACCCACAAAATTGCCACTGGGAGGGAAGGGGTGGAGGGGTTGCAAAGAATTCTTGTTTTATTTCTTGATGCTTATTTTCATGAATCTTCTTAGTCTAGATTTTTTCTTAAAGGGATGTGGCTGGCACATTGTCTTGTATGGCTAAGCTACAATATCTGCACTTTTTGGCCAAATACCTCTGATAATCAACCAAACTCCTAATTAGTCACCTCCTACAAGATGCTTGTAAGGGGGGCACTGGGTCTATCACTCCCCCCCCCCCCCCCCCCTACCAAACTGGGGTCCTTTAAAGTTGGTGGAGAATCAAGGACACAAGGGAAAAGATGTAAAATAAAACAATGATTAAACTGTTTAAACATTAGTTACCAAATAATACTGAAACCTGCACTATATATAAGAAGAAAAGAATAGAGCATGATTGAGATCTCAACCCTTTTGTCCAAGAAACCCACCCAGGAATATCCTGATTTAAAAAATCCTTTAAAAACAACCATTTTACACAGGCCACTAGAAAACTTTCTTAACATTTCTAGACACACATTGCATATAAACATTTTTTATGAGAGAGAGAGAGAGACAGCACAACAAAGGGCTCTTCCGTGGGCCAACAAAAAAAATGTAATAGGTGATTTATACTTTACCAATCCATCCTTTTTTTAAATGCTTATTGTGAGCAAATATAATCATATCTGGGGCCTCCTAAACACTGTGCAGGCATAAACAGAACCAATGTTGTTGATTAGGCTTTTCTTTGACAAGTCAATGCAGCAGTGCCAGTTCTGCTGCATTTACCAGGATTTGTAGCCAACAGCAATGTCAGATTAGCGGCATCATTGAGCAAAAAGGTTAATTCATTGTCTACTTTTAGATACATTACACTTCAACACACCTGAAACTCACCTTTGAGTGCTTCCGCAAGCCAGCATCTGGTTTCTCAGCTGCTTCTGCTGCCGTCTGAGATTTCTTTTCATTATTTTTACTGTCTGAATTTTCTGTGGCTTTGGGTTCATCCTTCACTTTCCCCTCAAGGGTATCATCCTCCTCCTCCTGCTGCTCCTCCTTAATATTTGCATCCTCTTCCTCGTCATCTTCATTTACTCTTTTCTTCTGTTTCTCTCCAGCTTTTGCCTCTTCATCTTTTCTCTCCTTCCTTGTAGCTCTTGACTCAGACTCCTTCTTGTCTTTTTTTGTCGTCGTTGACTCTTCTTCATCTAGATCAGTTTTCTCCTTCTTCACATCATCTTTTTTCACACTCGATCTTCTACTCGTCCTTTTCTTATCCTCTTCACTGGCTGGCTTCTGTTTGTCTTCTGACTGTGACTTGTCAGCATCCTGCAGGGACAAATCACATCATGGTAATTACAAAGCACAGTGAGAAAAGAATTAAAGGAATTGTGTAAGAGAGAACATAACTAAGAACAGAAAAGGAAGAAGTAGAACAGTACAGAAGAGAGCACAACTGTGAAAATTGAAAGCAGAAAAAAAAACATAGTTTAAAGACAAATACAACTGAGAAATGTGAAGGCAGAAGAAGAATAGTGTGGTGAAGAATACAACTAACAGAAAAGTAAAGGCAGATGAAGAATAGTTTAGGAGGAGAGAATAGGAGAGAACACAACTGAGAAAAGTAAACGTACATGAAGAATAGTTTAGGGGAAGAGAATAGGAGAGAACACAACTGAGAAAGATAAAGGTAGATGAAGAATGCTTTAAGAGAGAGCACAATTGAGAAAGGTAAAGGTAGACAAAGAATAATTAGGAAGAGAGCACAACTGAGAAAGGTAAAGGTAGACAAAGAATAATTAAGAAGAGAGCACAACTGAGAAAGGTAAAGATAGACAAAGAATAGTAAGAAGAGAACACAGCTGACAAAAGTAAAGGTAGATAAAGAATAGTAAGAAGAGAACACAGCTGACAAAAGTAAAGGTAGATAAAGAATAGTTCACTGGCAGAACCACAAACACTTGGAGTCACCAGCGGGAAACAGAAAGCCAATCAAACAAAAGGATGAATGGAGGCATGTCATATTTGTAGCAAGAACATCAAATGCTCAGAAGGCTGAAGAAGAAGAAAAAGAAAGACAGAATTGTTCAGGGAGAGAATACAAAGAAAAGAAAAAGCAACTCCCTAGCAAGATGATCATTATATAGCCAGACTCTTCCAATACACAATCTCTTGTACTACTCTCACCTTCTTAGCCAGTACAAAGCCATCAAACTTCTTTTTCTTTCTTTCTCTCTTGCTGTGTTTCTCTGGTGTTTGATCCTCGACCCCTTCTTCATCACCTTTCTCCTCTTCCTTCTTCTTTCTCTCTAGCCTCAGTTCTGCTTTGGCTTTCTGAACTCGTTCCTTTTCTTCTTTGGCTTTTCTTTAACAAACAAAAATTGGCATATACATTCACAATAGAAAAATATCAAGCTTTTCACAGATCGGTAAAATTGCAACAGACAAAAAAGTCACAAATACATAAATGTAAATGTTTAATTTCATGATAAATGAGCACCAAATGTAACACTGATTTTCAATGGAGGTAAACAAAAATGCTAACAAGGATACTTCTGTTACTTCTTTGTTCATCCTTGAATTGTGGTCTACATGCTGTTATGTGGTTTAAAGCTAGGCTGTGATGTCTACACTTTTAGGCACAAAATATCAGATTTTTGCACACTCCAAACTAGTTGCTCAGGAAAAAATAAAAAGACCTACTGCTTCTCAACAAGCTAGGAACAAGAATGCAAGCAAATGTTTTGACAATTCAACCAACAAAACAACAAGAATGCAAGCAAATGTTTTGACAATTCAACCAACAAAACAACAAGAATATTAGCTACAAAACAAATTACTAAAAACCAAGACACACACAACACATACACAAAAAGTAATCTACATTCTTTAATCGGATATAAATCTTCATCTTTGCATTCACTGGCTGCAAACTCCGGCGAAAAGCTCTGGGTGTTTGTCCACCTCCCAACTTGACTAGTCTTGTTCCAGAACCTAAGTGCTGCATGCACAGCTGTTTCAGAACTGTGGTTCCTTGCCTCTCAGGCAGATGTACTCCAGCTTCAAAGGATGTCCCCAATTAGTCGACTCCTACGACATGCTTGTTGGGGAGGCAGTGAGTCTAGTTTGACCCACAATGGGGTCCCAGAACCTTCAAGGGCAATCCAAAATAAATAAGAAATTAAGGTTTTCTAGCTGCAAAGTTCATTCTGACGTTCCTAATTGTGGTATTGTAAAGCTAGCTAGTTTTAATTCTCATTAAGATTAATTTTTTTTTATCATGTATGGACTGGAGATTATTAGTACACAACTGCAAAAAGAAAATAAGCATTAAAATAAGTACACATCTGTCCAGAGTGAAACAAAATATTTGCACATATATTTGTCCAGAGTGCAATAAAATAAGCACACGTCTGTCCAGAGTGCAATAAAATAAATGCACATATATCTGTCCAGAGTGCAATAAAATAAATGCACATATATCTGTCCAGAGTGCAATAAAATAAATGCACATATATCTGTCCAGAGTGCAATAAAATAAATGCACATATATCTGTCCAGAGTGCAATAAAATAAATGCACATATATCTGTCCAGAGTGCAATAAAATAAATGCACATATATCTGTCCAGAGTGCAATAAAATAAATGCACATATATCTGTCCAGAGTGCAATAAAATAAATGCACATATATCTGTCCAGAGTGCAATAAAATAAATGCACATATATCTGTCCAGAGTGCAATAAAATAAATGCACATATATCTGTCCAGAGTGCAATAAAATAAATGCACATATATCTGTCCAGAGTGCAATAAAATAAATGCACATATATCTGTCCAGAGTGCAATAAAATAAATGCACATATATCTGTCCAGAGTGCAATAAAATAAATGCACATATATCTGTCCAGAGTGCAATAAAATAAATGCACATATATCTGTCCAGAGTGCAATAAAATAAATGCACATATATCTGTCCAGAGTGCAATAAAATAAATGCACATATATCTGTCCAGAGTGCAATAAAATAAATGCACATATATCTGTCCAGAGTGCAATAAAATAAATGGACATATATCTGTCCTAGAGTGCAAAAAAATAAATGCACATATATCTGTCCAGAGTGCAATAAAATAAATGCACATATATCTGTCCAGAGTGCAATAAAATAAATGCACATATATCTGTCCAGAGTGCAATAAAATAAATGCACATATATCTGTCCAGAGTGCAATAAAATAAATGCACATATATCTGTCCAGAGTGCAATAAAATCAATGCACATATATGCAAAGCAGAAAAGTCATTAAAAATAAAATAAATTAAACTGCAACTGTTGAAAACAATAACGCAATCAAGAGACCTGAAAAACCAGGGGAAACAGGTTCATACAATCAACTCCTGCACTCTTCATATTTAAACATCAGAGAGTCTGCATAGCGAAGTAGTCCAGCCGTTTGCCTCGCGCTCTGAAGGTCGTGACTTTATACCACAAAGATGCTGTTCAGTTTACGAGTGCAGTTTTTATGGAGATTTGTGTGGAGCTATGCAGGAGCTACGGAGGTTGTGCTCTGTGCTACGCTTTCAGAAGGCAGCTACCTGTTCTGCGGAGAGAGACCGGGCCAAATGGGATAAAACCCGGTGCAACGAAGTTGCTTCTCTCATCTTTACCATTTAAACGTCAATAAGTATTTATACCTTTCTGCTTCCTCCTTTAACTTCTTTTGCATTTCTTTCTGTCGTTCTTCCTCTTTCTTCTTCCAAGAGCTCAGGGCACTGCCCTTGTCATCACCATCATCTTCATCATTATCACTGCAAGTGAAAATTTGAAAAACCATTTAAAAACAGAAAAGGGAAGAGAGGAACTACAGCATTCTAAAATTATAACAATGCAGAAAATAGTCACGACTCAGGGCTTCTACTTCTTCTTGTGTTCACTTTCTGATTTACACTGACAGGCAAGTTCTTGTGATAAACTTTGTGTTCACTTTCTGATTTACACTGACAGGCAAGTTCTTGTGATAAACTTTGTGTTCACTTTCTGATTTACACTGACAGGCAAGTTCTTGTGATAAACTTTGTGTTCACTTTCTGATTTACACTGACAGGCAAGTTCTTGTGATAAACTTTGTGTTCACTTTCTGATTTACACTGACAGGCAAGTTCTTGTGATAAACTTGACTGTTTTTAAGAGTTCCCTTTTAGTTCTATACAACTCTGAGTACAGTGCTGACTCAGATGACACAGCTCTACAACTCGTGAACTGAGTAATGACAAAAAAAGAAGAACGACACAGTGCCGCTATTAAAGAATTACAAGTAAATATCTGTTTATCCTATTGCTGGCTGGCTGCACATAGGCTAGACACTCACCATTTGTTCAGTTATCATGGAACAGTTGTACCTGTGGTTGTCTTTACAGTAACATCACTCCCAGGCACATAATTTTCAGTGCTCAGGCAACTAGAACATCAATGCATTAAACTTCAGAGTTTCATTTCAACTCAGCCTTCAATATGACTTAAAAGCAATAACGAATCTAGGATGTTCACATAATTTGCTCACAACAAGATCCCTCCGATGTACACATAATTTGCTCACAACAAGATCCCTCCGATGTACACATAATTTGCTCACAACAAGATCCCTCTGATGTACACATAATTTGCTCACAACAGGATCCCTCCGATGTACACATAATTTGCCCACAACAAGATCCCTCCGATGTACACATAATTTGCTCACAACAAGATCCCTCCGATGTACACATAATTTGCTCACAACAAGATCCCTCTGATGTGCACATAATTTGCTCACAACAGGATCGCTCCGATGTACACATAATTTGCTCACAACAAGATCCCCCGATGTACACATAATTTGCTCACAACAGGATCACTCCGATTTACACATAATTTGCTCACAACAAGATCCCCCGATGTACACATAATTTGCTCACAACAGGATCCCCACGATGTACACATAATTTGCTTACAACAGGATCCCCCGATGTACACATAATTTGCTCACAACAGGATCCCTCCGATGTACACGTAATTTGCTCACAACAAGATCACCATGGTGACAGAGCACGTGTGAGACTATGCTCACAGAAATGAAAATATTTCTTTAGTCAACCAAACATTCGTAAGACTGAGCACCACTCTTCTTATCAGGCACCTTCTGTGGCCTACTTTGTCCCAAGTGAGTTCAGCTGGTGAACTGAGTAGCCAACCAACATCACAGCACATTCCCATAAGCGTCCGTAAAATTGTTACCTTTCCTTTGGAATTAACATTATAATGTAGTAGTCTGGGACAATTATGACAGGGAACATGCTGTATGGGCAACACATGGTCTCTACAATACTGCCCAGGTTTTGTGCTATAGAGAGGAGGAACTGCATCCATGACCTTTAACTGGTCTTGGAATCGAATCAAAATCCTTTAGTTGCAGGATATAAGTGCCTATCAGTTGATGTAGATAAAAACATGACATATATATTTCTTCTTCTTCTGCAATTACCCTTAAAATAACAAGTTTGCACATTGTGTTATGGTTTACAGCAAGGCCAGAAATATCCGCTCCTTTAGGCTCAATGCATCTCAACTTAGTAAACCCTTAATTTATGATCTTTTATAACACGCTTGTTAGACGGACTTCCTCCACCCCCTTGCCTCCCCATGGGGCCCTGGAACTCAAATACATTTGATGGCAACAATGTTCCTGAAATCTCACGTGCTTACTGTAAAAGATTCTTCTTAACCCAAGCTGTTCTTGCTAGCCACATGGAACATGCTTCCCTGAAGCTCAGTAAGACATTATTGTCTGGAAATATAGAAAGGTACCGACACGAAACAAGATCACCAGCTGATCAAGCTAATCAGCATTACCTGCTAGCAGACAGAGATGACGCCAAACTTCCATCTGACATATTGCCGTCTGACTTTGTCCTTTTAGCGGCTTTTTTATTACCTGGGAACAAACAGAACAGTTTCTCATAACCAATCAATCACTATGTATGTGTACTGGTGTTGTTTGCATGTGAAATATGGACAGTAAGTTGACAAAGAATGAATCAATCAATCAACTAAGAATGGACACCACTGTACTCCGGACATTCCTTTTCCTCAGTTGATGCTCACTCATCACAAGTGATGAAGGCCACTTTTTATCTTAACTTAATAATGAAGACTGATGAGCCCCTTCGAGGGCGGGCAGTTCTTGAGCAGTATGGACAACAGATGGAAACAACAGTTGAGTTTGGATTTGCCACGTGGCTCTTTTTTGTCATCCCCTTTTTTCAGTGCCAATGAAGTTTCCATTCTGACAGTGCCAACTGCAGCCTGACTAAAATCCGGCCTGTCTTTTCTTTTGGAGGTTCAAAACTGCCCAGACCATGTTTACTTCTTGCTGAACCTATCTTTCAAGGTATGGATATACCCTTTGTCCAACTTTATCCCAGGCAGACTTAACCATGTTCGCTTTATCATACAGCAGCTCACTGTCCAAAAGTGCAGCAGCTGCGAATCAATCAGTATGACCACTAGCCCGCACACAACTCAATATCCTGGGCAGAAAATCCATATGCTCTAGTGCAGTGATTCCTAAACTGTGTGCCATGTCGCCCTGGGTGGCCGTGACCTCTTCACATGAGTGCCGCAAAATATCCGAAGATACACAAGTTTTTTTTTTTAATCTCTTAAATACGAATAGTGATACTTTTACTTAGATTCGGGCGACTAAGAACAATTTAAATTGAAAAAGGGGCTGCGACTAAGACAAGTTTGGGAAACACTAGTCTCGTGGAGTAAGTGGCTTCAAAACAATTTTGACTTTAAGGTCGGGTCCAGCTCACAGAACAGTGACCCCAGAGTCGCTTGCCACTTTTTAGGAACTTTGTACTACACTCATACACCTGCTGGACTGACAGGCATTCATGCATCAATCACCATACTGGCTATAGGTTTTACTAATTCACCGATAAAAAAACAGAATGCTGCTCCTCTTTAGTGCATGTCAAAAGTGTTGCGCCCATCTTTAAACTGTCATTATGACGTCACTGTGTCCATCTGCTGCAACAGGACGTCATGTGCTTTTGACATCCATAACAATAATACTGACAGTTTAAAAGACGATATGTTCAATTGCATGGTTATTGTAATTGTTATCAATTTTAAGGCTTTCATCTGAAGCCCCTCATATCCTTTGGTTACATCTAGAAGGGGGAAAGTGGAGTATGCGGTTATGAGAACAAAAAAGTCAGAGAAGAGAGACAGGAGAGAATGATCATACATCAGGTTCAAAGAGTCACAAACTGGGCACAGAGGCCCATCTTACTCACAGCAGCAATGTCAACCTCTCTTTCAAACAGCAATTGTAATGTATGCATAATGTATGTTTACATATATCAATAATAGGAATATTAAGTATAAATCCAAGAGAGAAGATGTCAGACAGTGTGGCATCGTGGTATTTGCATATCTAATAGACATGTTTGAAAGTTTACAAGACAGAAGGCTGTGGCAAAAACATGACTATAAATGCCAAATGGTATGGACTATAAGAAAAAGTCATCAGTTATGCTGTTGTCACAATTGATGTAATTGCACAATGGGCTTTCCTATGTATGCTCAGTCCTCTGATGCAGCCGCCAGCCACTGCAGTGTACCTCTACTGTTTATTCCTATGAGGAGTTGGTGATAATGTCTCCCATCTCTGCTTCAAAAGCAGCATAAAGTTATTTCGCCATGCATTATTGCCAGGTCATACAACCGTGCTAGTGTCGCCAGTATTGCATAGTTAGAAAACTTTTCCAAAAAAATACCTGTTGACTTCTGACTTCTTCTCCTTATGGCCACTTTGTTGATTCTCCTAGGCTTCTTTGCACTACCAGTTTCCTTCTCTTCCTCCTCTCCATCCTCTTTCTCGTCATTCACTTCATCATTTTTCTTCTTTCTGCTGCGTGCTGGTTTTTTCTTCCCTCTTGCAGGTTTGGCTTTACCTTCCAGTGCAAAATCCTGATAGGAACAAATAAATTTACAATATTTTTATTGCAAAACAAAACTATAATTAGGAGATAGCATCAGTGTTACTTATCAGAGCATATAGCCAACAAAACTACAAATATAAAATGCATTTTTTAAAGTTACTAATCAGAGTAATAGCAATTGTGATATCATAGTAGCATGAGCTTGCCTGCCTGCCCACAGGCCTTGGACTCAAATCCACACTGAGGCTAACAGTTAACGGTAACGGTGAGAGGATCAACTTTACTGCACCGGGTTTTATCCCATATGGCTCAGTCTCCTTTCCCAGAACAGCTAGCTCTGTAGCTCCAGTGATGATCCCCAGGGATCTCCGTAAAAATTGCAACCGAGAACTGAGCGACACCGCCGTGAAATGAACCCACGACCTTCAGAGCGCGAGGCAAATGGTTTGACAACCTTGCCACGGAGACACAACACTGAGGTTCAACAAATGTTTTTTTTTAACTGACAATGACTTGAAGGTTGACAAAGCCTAAAATGGGTACTAAGTAAAGGTGGGTGGCATGATGTTGATCACATCACCCACCAAGTGCTGACTGGTCTGGCACCATATACCCAATGTACCAAAGATGTGAAGGGTGGCCCTTTACTTTTTACCCAGCAGTAATAACATTATCTTCTTTCTTCTTCGTGTACACCGGCTGTAAACTCTGGTGGAAAGTTCTGGTTGTTCATCCACTTCTGGACTGCAGTCCTGTTCCAGAACCTGAGTTTGCCTGTGCATCTGTTTTACAGATATGACTCATCTGTATGCAGACTGCTGGTTCCTTGCCTCTCAGGCAGATGCACTCCGACTTTGAAAGAAGCTTCCAATTAGTCAACTCTTACAACATGCTTTTGGGTAGGCAGTAGGTCTAATCTTGTTTTCCCTATAACAGGGCCCCAGAACCCACATGGGGAAATAACATTATTATATTTACAAGGTTACTCATGAAAGTGATAAGAAAACTATAGCTATGGGATCAGCTTTACAGTAACTAATAAGTGCATAAAATGCAGGCTATACAGGAGAACTAACCAGGAACCCATGAACGGTCCCTCTTATCCAGATAAGAATTCAAGCCAGGGATACAACAAGTCGTTCTTCACAACAGAAATTCTCCACATCCGAGATTACCTTAAGCTGTCTGCACTGTATAACTTTGAGATAAGATTATCAAAGTTATAAATAGGGGAGATGCATTTTTCAATGTACACATTTTATTAGTAAATACTGACAGAAAATAACATGACAGTTATAAAGTTATTAATCAGTGCATCACCAACAAACTACAACAGTGAGATAATATTATTAAAGCTACATAGTCTGCCTTGATTTCTACTTCTTCTGCTGCTTAATCTGGCTGTAAACCACAAGGAATGAGGAAAGAAGGAACGTTGATAAAAAAAAGCCAGAGTCGCTTAGCTGGATTACTATTAATCTTCTTTTCATTTGGTTTTGTATGCTCAGGTCAGAACATCAGGTGGGTTGCCTCATGAACTTGCATGTGAGCTGCAGGTCCTTCATGGTTCCCCATACCTTGCTCTGCACATTTTTAACCGGATTCCATCCACGATACTGAAACGATTGCGCAGGAAAGAACGGAATGGAGGGACAGTTGTGAGTTCTGTTTATACAATGGCACTAAAGGATGATGATGTAAACTGCAAGAAAATGTGACAACAGCCTTTTAAATTAAGGATAAATGCACCAGAAGATTGCAAAGTTTATCCCACACTCACCTCATCACCAGAATCATCACTGGCAGCAGCGCCGGCATCAAAATCCTCATCCTCAGCATGAGCAGAGGAGGCCACACTAGAAGTTCTGCTGGGTGTTCTGCTAGAGACAGAGGATACCGCCCTCTTTCGGCCTCTGGATGCAACTGAATTTGTCCTAGCTCGCTTTGAAGTGGGCTGCACAGATAAAAGGAAATGCCAGGGTTGGTTCAGAAAATACTCCACTCTCGTGGATTCCAGACTGTCGTAGTACACGGTGCTTCCAGTGCTCTGCATGCTTGCGAAACATGGACTGTATACACATATCATGCAAGAAAGCTCAACCGCTTTCATATACTCTAAGAAAAATATTAAACACCAAGTGGCAGGACAGGTTCTCGGATACTGTTGTACTGGAAACAGCTGACATTCAGCATCGATACCATCATGCTCGCCAGACCATTGGCTCCCAAATATGACCCAGCAATATGGCGAACATGTATCTAAAGGGGCACAGCGACTTGCCAGGGATCTAGAAAAAAGGGCAGCTGAACAGTGCAGTCAGGCTAGAAATACCTGTACTTCAGGCCTTTTATCTGACACTGCTCGTTAAGTATGAAATAAGGACTGGTCTTCATCACATGTGACGGATGAACAATCATCATCATCAGGTGCCTTGCCGACTGGCGTGGGTGATCATGCCTTTCCATAATCCACGATCTCCTGTAACATGTATCAGTTCGTGTGCCGACACACCTCCATGCCATGCAACAAGACTCAAGAATCTTCTCTCGTTGTCTTCCTCTACCCCTCCTTTCACAGATCTTTTCAGTGGTCACAACATGTTCTATTTTCCCTCTTCTCATAACATGGCCGAAAAATGATGACTGTCTCCTTCTGATGTCTGTGATAAGTTGTCTTTGGGCTCCTGCCTCTTTCAAAACTTTTTTGGTTGCTCTTTTTGGCTGTCCAAGGTATTCTAAGCATTCTTCTGTGAAACCACATCTCTGAGGCCTCAAGAAATTGTTTGGCCCACCTACCGATTGTCCAGGATTCACAGCCATATGTTAAAACTGGATGTATGTAGCAAGCAAGAAGGATGAACAATAATAGTATTAATAGTACAAGTGTCACACCATGTCATATTTAGCATGGGAAAATTTTTTCAGCAAAAATATCTGAATTGGAGAAATCTGCACCACATATCTTTGCATTAACAACAAATATGATCACAGCTTTGTCTCCAGAAATCTCTGCATGGGAAGCAGATAAAATCAAACATTTGTTACTAACAGAAAAAAGTCAGCAAGCAGCAACTGTAATCATAAGTTGGTAACCAGAACAGCTGTTGTTATAGGCTCAGTACTAACAGAACAGTAGAGACTAACTAATTCAATAAACTATTGAAGTCTCAGTCACGGATTTAACTTTACTGCAATCGGGTTTCCCCATATTCACTTTGTTACCGTGTCAGCGCAAATCAAATAAAATGTCTCTCAAAGTGGCATTTGAAAAGGTATTAAACAAAAAGTCCCAGAACAATCCAAAAATTTGCGTACATAGTAATTGCAAAATTCAGTTGCTAGAGGTGACTAAGCCAAGTCGCCATCAGAAATGCAGTTTGTCGTTGATGGAAGTATTCGGGCATGATAAGCTGGCTACTATAGATGCATAGAATTATTACACGGGGTATTTTAACAGCTCACACCTAAACCGGCTCCCGGCCATATTAAATACCACGACACAACCGTTTTACAAATGAAAGGCATTCCACAGAAAAAACACAGCTCACAGGGCTGCACCAAGCACTAACCAAGAACTATTACAATTATCACTCAGCTACAACCCACCCCTAAAGAAGTTACTATGAATGATTGTGCTAGCAGCGGACAAAAAATAATGCATCCCTGCTGGGGCCTTTAAAAAAATGTTTATGTTAAAACCGAGTGTTCGTAAGCGAATTTGTGTTAATGAGGTTTTACTGTAAAAGCATTATTGTTAATCACACAGGAGTCAGCATTTTCATGTATAAACTTTGACTTTAACTTCATCATAGATTTACCTGAGAAGATTCACTTTCTTTTCTTTTCCGCTTCTGTCCTTGAGCTTTCTTTGCTGAACCCTGCAGACAAGTAACAAAGTTGTAGCAGCCACATCTTTACTTATCTAACAAAATTATAGTTGCCTCTCTTTTATGTTGAACTAGGCTTAACTGCCCCACTTCGCCTGCGATAGTGAAAGAAAGTCTTATTTTCTGTCCTCTACCTCATCTTGGTCTCCACGACTGCCCTATATGTAGGACAAATGGAAATAGAGGTCTAACTAAATCCCTGTATTTAATATCCCATCTTCTACTTCATCATTACCTCCACCGCTGCAGTATCTTTAGTCACTGCTCCTAAGTGCATCCCCTGTAATACTAACACAAGTTTTTAACAATTTAGGAGACAGACAAACAGTCTCAGACGCATACAGATATGTGGTTTCAAGGAAAAAGCAGCAAAGTATAATTTTTAAAACTTACCTTTTTGAACTGAGTAACAGAAAAAAATATTCAAAGTGGTACAATTCCAGTGGAAGTTTACTTTTACTGAGTGTCGCAATAAATAAAGAAATACATAATAACCCAGGCCCACCAACATGATTGTTAAATTAAACATTGTAGCCATAATGGCACATGAAAATTTAACCTATGTTGGTCACGGTTTGGGAGGAGTTATTCTTCATCTATAATAAACACATGAAATACGGAAAGGGTTTGGGATTCATTTATTTTTTATATTAAAAACTAAATCACAGCACTCGGAACATTCCCATATGCGCTCCATCCCCATCTTCAGCAGGAGTTCCAATTCCTATGGTATAAGTAACAGTCTGACTGTATATCAATCTCGCCTTTTATCTGAGTGCTGAGCATCAGCCAGATCCCCCGGTTACTACCAGCAGTACCAATCTCCTCAGACCGCGATATGTTCACACTTGACAGATCTGTCTTATCTGTATGCAGACTGTTTGTTACTTGCTTATCAGGCAGATGCACTCCAATTTATAAGGAAACACCCCTAATTAGTTGCCTGTTGTGATATGCATAACAGGAGGGCAGCGGGTCTATCCTTACCCCCCCCCCCCCACCCCACTCTTCTAAATGGGGCCCCCGGAACCCACAGGAGGAATAACCTTACAAGAATGATAGCGATTATGTCTTCATATTCTGCCTTGACAAGCCTGCTGGAGCATAGGCTCTCTACCAACTCGCACCAAGTCTTCTATCTGTTGCTAATATATGCAGCTCATCACATGTCAGCCCTAAATTATGTTCTAATTCTTTTCTATGCGTTTCTAGTCTACCTGTTTTCTTCTGAAGTTGTAACAGTACAAGGAGATTCTAGTTACGTATTTTATATATCAGGTGTTCTATTCTAGTCTTGTATTTTATATATCAGGTGTTCTATTCTAGTCATGTATTTTATATATCAGGTGTTCTATTCTAGTCATGTATTTTATATATCAGGTGTTCTATTCTAGTCATGTATTTTATATATCAGGTGTTCTATTCTAGTCATGTATTTTATATATCAGGTGTTCTATTCTAGTCTTGTATTTTCAGGTGTTCTATTCTAGTCATTGTATTTATTATATCAGGTGTTCTATTCTAGTCATGTATTTTATATATCAGGTGTTCTATTCTAGTCTTGTATTTTATATATCAGGTGTTCTATTCTAGTCTTGTATTTTATATATCAGGTGTTCTATTCTAGTCATGTATTTTATATATCAGGTGTTCTATTCTAGTCATGTATTTTATATATCAGGTGTTCTATTCTAGTCATGTATTTTATATATCAGGTGTTCTATTTAGTCATGTATTTTATATAGGTGTTCTATTCTAGTCATGTATTTTATATATCAGGTGTTCTTTCTAGTATCTAGGTGTTCTATTCTAGTCATGTATTTTATATATCAGGTGTTCTATTAGTCTATTTTATATATCAGGTTTCTATATTTGTATATATATCAGGTGTTCTATATTCTAGTCATGTATTTAGTATATATATCAGGTGTTCTATTCTAGTTGTATTTATATATCAGGTGTTGTATTCTAGTCTTGTATTTTATATCAGGTGTTCTATTCTAGTCATATATCAGTATTTTTATATATCAGGTGTTCTATTCTAGTCATGTATTTTATATATCAGGTGTTCTATTCTATTATTTTATATATCAGGTGTCTATGTATTTATTATCAGGTGTTCTATTCTAGTCATGTATTTTATATATCAGGTGTTCTATTCTAGTCATGTATTTTATATATGTTCTCTCAGGTATTTTATCTATTCTATTCTAGTCATGTATTTTATATATCAGGTGTTCTATTCTAGTCATGTATTTTATATATCAGGTGTTCTATTCTAGTCATGTATTTTATATATCAGGTGTTCTATTCTAGTCATGTATTTATTTTATATATCAGGTGTTCTATTCTAGTCATTAGTTTTAATATATCAGGTGTTCTATTCTAGTAATTATTTTATATATCAGGTGTTCTATTCTAGTCATGTATTTTATATATCAGGTGTTCTATTCTAGTCATGTATTTTATATATCAGGTGTTTTTATATTCTAGTCATGTATTTTATATATCAGGTGTTCTATTCTAGTCTTGTATTTTATATATCAGGTGTTTCTATTTCTAGTCATATTTTTATATCAGGGTGTTCTATTCTAGTCTTTCTGTTCTATTCTAGTCATGTATTTTATATATCAGGTGTTCTATTCTAGTCATGTATTTTATATATCAGGTGTTCTATTCTAGTCATGTATTTTATATATCAGGTGTTCTATTCTAGTCATGTATTTTATATATCAGGTGTTCTATTCTAGTCATGTATTTTATATATCATTCTAGTGTTTTTATATTCTAGTCTAGTATTATTATATATCAGGTGTTCTATTATTTTAGTCAGGTGTTCTATTTAGTCTTGTATTTTATATATCAGGTGTTTCTATTCTATTTATAGTCAGGTGTGTATTTTGTATATATATATCAGGTCTTGTTTTATATTCAGGTGTTCTATGTCATGTATTTTATATATCAGGTGTTCTATTCTAGTCATGTATTTTATATATCAGGTGTTCTATTCTAGTCATGTATTTTATATATCAGGTGTTCTATTCTAGTCTTGTATTTTATATATCAGGTGTTCTATTCTAGTCATGTATTTTATATATCAGGTGTTCTATTCTAGTCATGTATTTTATATATCAGGTCTTTTTACAGGTGTCTTGTCCAACACCAGTATCTTTTCCTCACCTCGTGACTCAATAAACATTAAATGTCAGTGTTAGTGGGGGGGAAAAAAAAAATATTTATCAACCTTCTTTCCTTTTGGTGCGACCTCCTCCTCCTCTTGCTGTTCAACATCAGCATTTTCATCATCATCATTGTCATAATCATTAGCGTCAGCATGTGAGGGTTGGTCAGACAGATCATTGGTAGCACCCTGTGTCAAAAAGAACGAACAACAGAAAATAGGAGGCAGCGCACCAGCAATTCCTCCAAGCTGTGCCGACCCTTGGTGAAAATCGTTCACAAAACATATCTCTGTGTGTTAATGTCTATTTATCTCCCTTCACCAGTCTATGACTAACAGACAGTTTTCTAAATGGACATAAACCCCCAAGATTACAACAGAAGAACTACTAAAGAATCACTTTTTAAACAAAAATAATTATCACAGAAAGAAAAAAATGACTTGAAATACTTGAGAATCACGCGAGATACTATATGAGAATCACACACAGGCGAATTTTGCAAACAATTTTCACCAAAATTTCTGACCAACTGATTGCTGGTTCTCACCTACTGCATGCACAATCTAGACCTTGTTTCTTACATTTCCTCTACTATTAAAACAAAATAAAAACCAAAAAGTCTGCATTTCCTAAAACCCTAATTCAGTTACTTCTATGTTAGTCCTTTTCTGTTTAGTCTCTTGCTGTATGCTAATGAAGGTTTGTCACCACACCTTCCTTTGTTTATTGTATTGCTGAAATATACTTTGTTTTCACAAATGTTTACCATAAAGCAGAACAGAGGAGTGGGAGGGATACCCTCAAAGATATGAGAATTGTATTTTTGGCCGGCATCAAGAATTTGGGAAACGTTGTAAGAAAGGGGAAACTGATGTACATTATGGTAGCTGGGAGGGGAAAAGGAAGACCATGGGGAATTTAGAAATGTGGCATGGAAGAACATCAATCAGAAAAAAACTGACAAAAAGCTGAGGAAAGACACTATTATTAGTGCAGCACAGCTTCTGAATAAGGCATGCTCTGGAATCCACTAAGCATAACAAAATGGATACAAGATAATTTTTTTAGAATTTTCTAGCTTTTATCTAGAAAAGAGAGGCAATGAAAGGAACTGATCTCACCAATTCATTATGCCATAACAGAGTATATGTGAAGACTTTACATCTTTACGACAGCAACTGTGTGTGGACTGTCTCTGTCAGAATTCAAATTTAAATGACTGAATAAAAAGGTTTTGTGATTGTGCATGCCAGCTGGTCATTATTTTTTTTTAAATATCAAGACAGTGAACCTGTATGTGGAGGATTTGCTGGTACACATTATATACAGTAAACACATTTATCAATATAAAAAATAATAATTACTATTTATTTACTGACAAGATAAATTAAACAAGAACATTTACAATAGACAGGGAGCTGCAACAGCATAAGGGTTAGACGTTCACTCGTCAGCCCAATTAAAATGGGTACCAGGTAATGTCCTGGGAAGAAAAGGCAGCAAGCATAATGTTGACCTCATCAACTATGGAAAGCCAAATGGTTAATAAAAAATCTGTGTGTGGGTTCTGGGGCCCCATTGTGGAAAAAAGACAAGAACAAACCCACTACCTCCCCAAAAAGAACACCCTTTGAGCTGATTAACTGGGGACATCCTTGGAAGTCAAAGTGCATCTGCCTGATTGGCAAGGAACCAACAATCTGCATATAAATATGTCCAATAGGTAAAACAGATGTGCATGCAACACTCGGGTTTCTGGAACACGGCTCAAGTCCAGAAGTGGACAAGCAACCAGACCTGTCCACTAGAGTTTCAGCCGGTGAATGTGAAGAAGAAGGTTAATAAAGATGGATGTCTAACAGGTATGCCTCATGTGCCAAAGGAGTGAGAAAGCCTTTAACTTTTATGTTTACACAACATCAACAAATGGTTTATATCACCTCTCTTTACATCTAATCTCAGAAAAAAATTTAGTAAAACAGCAAATTAAGAGTCATTACTTCCGAACAACAACTACACTTGCTCTCTCTCTCTCTCTCACTTTCCTTCCGTCTCTCGCTTTCCTTTCCTCTCATCCTTTATCAACAACAGACCTTTGGCTGAAACACCACATCAGGGTTGTTGAGAATCTCCCACAATCCTGTGTTAAATGCTGTCCTATTATTTGGCTTATGATACTTTTCTTTGTACTTCTCATAAGGATATATGTCTTTGGGACCCAAAAAAGCACTGAAATAAAAAGACCACATGATTTTATCATTATTATAAATTTCTACTTTTGCCATTAAACACAATAAAAGAGGAACAGATAAAGCTGCAGCACTAGCTATTGTCATCAGGTGTGGATGTAGAATGTCTTGTATGTCATCAGTTCAACTTCTCCTTGGGCAACCTCACATCAAAACTTTTTTTTTTAGGTGTATCACCGGGCTAGTAGTTGACTATGGCTGCATTCCTAATGAGATGGACAAACCTTTTATTCTCCTTCTTTGCTTTCACTGGCTGTAAACTCTAGCAGAAAGTTCTGGCTGTTCGTCCACTTCTGGGCTTTAGCATTGTTCTGTTTTGCATGCATGTCCCTTTTAAAGATCTGGCATATCTATGTGCAGACTTTTAGTTCCTTGCCACTGAGGCAGATGCTCTATGACTTCGGAGAGAAAATCCATCACTAGTTGCTTTTTATGATGTGCTTGTGGGGAGGTTGTAGGTCTATTCTTTTTTCCCTTAAATGTACGTCCGAGAACTTACATGGAAAGAAACTTGTATTCAAATCTTGTGATTCTCTCATCGGCGACCGTGGCTTAGACGTTGCAAACACACTTCATAATGCCGGGTTCGATCCCACCTGTAGGCGATTTTTTGCTGTGCACTGGTGCGACAGTAGTATCCAGAGCCGGCCGTTCAAAGAGCAATGACAAACTAAAGAATATCAATTTGCCTAGATAAACCACAACAGCCAAAAAATGTGCTGTGCCTGTATTTGTACGGTGTCATGTTTCAATATCTTGAATGATCACCAAAATCACAGATCAAGTAAGATTTTCTTGTCCTGTCTCATCCATAAGACAAAGCCATCCAAGTATTTATCTTTTTGTCTTCCCGATGCTATTTTTTTTCCATCAATCTTACGCAAGTCCATTCCTCCCCATAAAATGTTTGAAAATGAGTATACGGTTTTCCTCTGTCTACAAATCACATCTCACAGGTGTTAATTTCATGAAAAGTACTGTCTTCTGCTTCTTCTTCTTTATCTCCTCTTTTACTGCTGTGGGTGTCTATGGAGACATGAGGTGCTGCTTCGTGCTCCCCTGTCTGCTTCAACCATAGACACATCATGAAGATGAAGTTTCTTTGATGTTATCTTCAGATCTTGTTCTTGGTCTACCTCTTGCTCTACGTCCCTCTCCTCTTTTAGTATACGCCATGCATGGTAAAGCATCAAAAGGCATTCTCTCGAAGTGGACAAACCATTTGATTTGCTGTAACATACAAAAACAAAAAAAATCAATGTTGTAAGCTTCACCATCATCACTACCTTGTCAGATGGCACAGGCTAGGCAATGCTAACATTTTAGTAGTAAACGTAAAGGATCTTTTTATACATCTTTTGGGTGTATTGGGCATACAGGGCTACACCTATATGTTATAGACTCAGGGGATGATGTATGAACATCACATTGGCCTCTTTACTTATAAGGACTTTAGCTGCTTCCAATTTAAGGCTGTGTTGACTTGCTAGCCAAAGTCATTTTTTTTTTGTAAGTCTGGCTCCGTCAGCTACTCTTTTTAAGTTTAATAAAAGATGATTTTCAGAATATCATTAGAAGGAAAGCTGAAGAAGACAGATACTGATAACTCAACCTCATAAATGTGGCCGCATCATCATTAGGTGGGAGTCGCCGTGGCAGAGCGGCTAGACCCGCGCCGCGGATCGGAAGGTCGTGGGTTCGCTCCCTGGCGGAGAGGGACTTTTCTTCAAAAATGACCTTGGCTCCCAGGTCGACCCAGCCTTGAGTGGGTACCGGGTGCAATCCCGGGATGTAGAGGCGGCCGGCGTGATGATGACCACATCACCCATCTTGTGCCATTGGTCTATAAAAATATAGGTCTAGCCCTATATGCCCTATACGCCTAAAGGCGTGGAAAGGGTCCTTTACTTTACTTATCATCATCAGGTAGCAGGTCCTTTGCAGAACGTTTCTCTAAAAGTCTGCCAGAAACTCTGTCACTGGCCAGCTCTCCCGCACTTTCATACACATGGAGTCACTTATATCCTGTGTCAATCTTTGTGTTAATTGGCCCCTGCCTCTTCTTCCTGGCACCATGCTTTTTGCTATTCATTAGCTAATCTTCTTTGATAATCAGACCTTTTAGGATGTCAGATTGTCTTTTCTGTTATTTTGAGAATCTTTCTATAGCATTTCAGCTAAAACGCCTCTATTTTCATAGATCCACATTATAATCCCAAGAAACATTATGGAAGCCAAAATATGCCCTAGACTGTGAAGAGGAAAAAAAGGTTATCACACTCAAATAGCAGTACCTGCCACAAAACAACTTTAATTTGTCAATCTGACATTAAAGATGCTCACTTACGTTTCATGAGTTCCATAAAAAAATATTGGATATTTTCCTTTGGGTGGTTTCACAGATCCTTCACGTTCATAATCAATCTGGCCAAAAAAATTTGGTCTGAATTAAAGTGACAACAGAAGATTTTATAAAAATTGTATATCATATCCACATTAATGGTATGGCCAGTGCACCACCACTATCTTTGGAAATAATAATTATCTAATGAGGCCCCCCACCCCAAACTCTTTCACAGCGCCACTTTGGCACCACAGTTTGAAAATCATGTCAATATTTTTTTTTTATTTAGATAAACTGTTACCCATGTGGGTTCAGGGGCCCCTTCTTTTTCTCTAGTCCTGTATGCCTCTCGGCGTCAGGTTTTAAAGAGGCAGCGAGTGAAAGCCTTGGTGTGTGCTACATAAATGCAGGTATTCATTTATCTGGGGTCCTATTGTTGGAAAACAAGAACAGGCACGCTGTCTCCCCAACAAGTATGTTGTAACAGTCAACTAATTGAGGGCATCCTCCAAAGTTGGAGTACATCTGCCTGAGAGGCTAGGAACCAAGAGTGTGCCTAAAAATAAGTCTGATATGTTCAACGTATGTGCAAGCAACAATTAGGTTCTGGAACAAGATTTTAAAGTCCAAAGGTGGGGGGACAGAACTGTTGGCTGAAGTTTACAGCTGGTGAATGTGAAGAAGGAAAAAAACTGCTCATCACAGAAATCAAATCCTAGTACTTAAAGTTATGTTGTCACAATCGACGCCACTGCACAGTGGGCATTCCTGTGTGTGCTCGGTCACTGCAAGCAGCAGTAGCCACTCTACTGATTGTCTTGGCCTCAAATTTTGCATAGATGTGCTTTAACAAGCTTCACACCCATGCAATGCAATTGTGTTAGCGTCAAAGATTCATCGTTATCTGCCAGCATTGATAACATCCAGTACTCAAGAATCCTGGAACTGTTAAAATGTGTTCACTAACCTCTAGGCCACAGAGCCATGATAGAAGATTTTAACAGGTTCTTTACAAACAAGAGGTTTGACTTCTTTTACCTGGTTTTGAAGGCATTGTCTACCTCAGCAGAGCAGCTGTTCACCTACCAAGAAGGTGGCACAAAGTATGAATTTTTAGACCCAGCACTGACCCCCATGGATCTTCAAAACACCTGCCCAGAAAAATGACTGTTTCTCCGCATCTCTAAAAAGAAACGCATAATTTTCTAAAACTCTACCTTAAGAAATTTAAGGAAGAGAAGAAGACAATGTGGGAGCCTTGGTCCGTTTTATACAAATCTAGAGTTTGAAACCTGCCATGCGACTGTCATGTCTCTAAAATATTGGTTTTTGAATCATGATTTTCAATGTGATTATTTTTTGTATACATACAGGAAGCATTCTTTAAATAAAACAGAGCAAAGAATTAACTCATTTCCTTGCCTCTCACAATTGAAAAAAGCTTTGTTTTGCTGACAGGCAAATGATGCAAACGACGGACATTATCATGAGGTTATTATGAAGTCACAATGACTATTATAAAAAAAAAACATTCTTCACCCCAATATCTTATGTTGTATGTGTTTATGTGGTGGGAGAGGGAGTGTAAATATAATCATAACCACCTCGCCTACATCCCATGCAGCTGCAACCAGTACCTCAAAAACCTGTACAAGCTGGAGAACCAACCCCTTTCAGTGTGATAGTGTTAGCCACTTTGCTCAAAAGACAGCCCAATGCAATGATTCTTTCTTAGGCTTACTCCATGTCAACGTGTTTCTTGTGTGCTATCTCCATAATGTAGGTCGTACATAGTGCATGAACTGCAATTCTAATACTGTGATAAACATTCTGTGTGTTTTTCGTTGGCACAGGAGCGGACCAAAGATGGGGTGACCCGTTTGCTATGGAGCTGAAACTAAGACTACCAGACATAGTGCATCCACCCGTCTTTGACAATCTTACATGGTGAGTTTCAAATGTTTTCCATGGTCCACCTCTTATACCCCTCATTTTTTTTTTAACTGCCAACTTTATAAATTGAACCTTACTATTCCAAGGATTATAAAAACAATTCACTAACCTCTAGTCTACAGAAAGGAACCAATGTCAACCTAAAAGTGAAAGCAAGAAAAATTGTGTGGTCTTGCACAACACCAGTCTCATGAAACATCATCATGTGCCCTGGTGGTAAGCATAGACACAGTCATGCATCACCACTCACACAATCACCAGAATCAGGGATCATGTCAGTGTACTTGTCTCATTAAGCCATCCATATATTTATCTATTAGCCTTCCCCTTGCACGTTTTTCCATCAATTTGCACCAAGTTTTCAAGTCCGTTCCGTCCCATAACATGTCCAGAAAAACACTGTCAACATCTAATTTCTCGAGAATGCAAAACCAGAATGTCCAATGATGTTTGTGCTAGTGACTTACTGAACAGCTCAAATGTAAGAATTCAACCTAAAACTTGGTACCTGTTGCGGAATAGAGGAAATTAAATGGTATGACATAATCACTATTGTGTGGCTTTGGGAGAGAACTTAAAAATGAATCAATGTTGGTGTTGGATAGGACAGGTGTTGAGAAAACCTAAGAACAATATAACTAGAAGAGCTATACACTGTAATCAAAACAAACCGTCACAGAAATAAAGGTAGACAAAAAAGCACTTGAAGGGAACTCAACGGCGACGTTAAAAAGATGGGAAGGACATTGTGTGAGCTGTATGCATTAGCAAAGGATACAAGAACTTGGGTGAGTTAGTTGAGAGCCTATTCTTATTCAGGGCAATTAAAGGCAAAAGAAACCAAAACTTTATCCTAAACAATTGCACAGAACAGAAATAAAGAGAATCCTACCCGTGCTGGCCAGTGTGGGTAGCCCTTCATTTTAGCAAAGATCTTGTCACCCGGTTTGTACAAGTCTGTCATTATGAACTATGCTGTTCCTCCGTTTACTAAATGCAAGCTACAGCCGTACAAAGTGTAATACTTTGTTCCCTTGTTTTCCAAGTTTCTTGAATCTGGACAAGAACAAAAACAGAATATTCATTATGTATGTTAACAAACAGACTTGCTATGTTGTCAAAAAAAGGCAGAAACTCACCTGCAGTGGATTCCATCGCCCTGTGGCATCAAAGACAATGAAAATGATGATGCTTTAGCCAAGGAAGGCAGCAGCTTAACCACAGATCTACCAGCCACTAACTTTTCCAGAGGTTAAAACCCTCATTATGAGAAAATCAGAAACAGATTGGAAAAACAACAAGTGTAATAACCATGAAAAGGATTTTCTCAAACACCTTAACTAGACCAAGTTAAGTTTTTCAGTTACGAAGTAGACACTGCAGACTCAACAAACACTCATATAAATTATATATGAGCCAAACAACTCTCAGCCTGTGTTTTCATGCTAAACAGTTGATTCCAGAACATGTCTTGCAGGACTGTCCTCTGTTGGAGAAGCTGTGAATCAACTTGTGACCACACCCAGTAGACCTGACATCTAAGCTTTGGAGAAACCTAAGAGACCTTGAGATGACATCCCAGTTTATAGCCCACAATGGATTATGCGCATGACCAGAGAACACTAAAGAAGAAGATTTATGTACATTATCGCAATACAATCAATGTCACAGCACACTGGCAGTCCATGCGTGCTCATTTCTTGATGCAACAGCCACCTCAAGAGACAACATTTACATTAACAGTAACACCACTAAATTTCTAAAACAGTGCTCCTCAACCTTTTTACATCCATAGCCCACCAAAACAGGGTATACTGTTTCACAGCTCACCTGAGTTTACTAAACATTTTGGCTGCCCTCTGAAAAACGGGCACAAAAGTTGGCGGCCAATGGCGCACTTCCGGCAACCTAATTTGCAGTTTTCAGGCGACTACCGCCACCGTCGAGAGTATCCCCCACGCGTGAATTGGGGCTATACTAGGCTAGGACTCACTAGCAAAGCTGCAGGAGATGCGGAAGCTGCTGCTCGTGAGTCCCAGCCATCTAGTTTAGCCCTAGGGAATACTCTCGCCGGTGGCGGTAGTTGCCGGAAAACCGCAAATCACCGGAAGTGCGCAATTAACATGTGACTGAGGCTCTGTTAGGGTGTTTTTGTGGCCGCCATCTTTTGTGCCCGTTATTCGGAGGATAGCAAATATTTTTAAAAATACAAATGTAGACAGTGATAACAGTTCATTTACTAAATGAGCTCTCCTCCGAACTTCTACCCCTGCAGTATGGCGGCCTGAAATATCCGCTCGGGGCTCAGTCCAATGAAAAATGCTGACTTTCTGAAAGGAACAAATCGTGGCAAAACTAGGATTATTTGACAATTTCAAGAGACGTAACATTGTAGACGATAGTAGCAGGTGATAAAATCGACCGGTGACAATGTCGAGCGTTTCTGCAGACGATACTTCTTGACAATTTCGAGACATTACAGATGATGAAAGGGATATGGCGGGTAGACCACGCGCTTCCACGCAGATTAGCAATACTGTTCTTCCGATTGAGGATTTAGTTTAGCAGCGGTAGATGACAGACTTGGCAAAGCACAAAACGCGTTTAAACTCAACGCCGAGCGTATCCCCCACGCCGCTACGCGCGGCGCGGATGGGAGGCTAAACTAGGTGCCTGGGACTCACTAGCAAAGTAATATGGCCATATGTATATGGCTGAAGCGTCGTTTCTGACAGACTAAGCATTACATTAACATCCAGCTGATTCCATGTTTGGTTTTTATTACATGTATCATGTATGTATGTATGTATGTGTGTGTGTGTGTGTGTCTGTGTGCGTGCGTGCATGCATGCATGCATGCATGCATGCATGAGTATGCATGTATGAGTATGCATGTATGAGTATGCATGTATGAGTATGCATGTATGAGTATGCATGTATGAGTATGCATGTATGAGTATGTATGTATGTATGTATGTATGTATGTATGTATGTGTATGTGTATTCATGTGTGTATGTAATGTATGTCTGTATGTATGTATGTATGTATGTATGTATGTATGTATGTATGTATGCGTATGTATGTATGTATGCATGCATGTATGTATGCATGCATGTATGTATGTATGTATGTATGTATGTATGTATGTATGTATGTATGTATGTATGTATGTATGTATGTATGTATGTGTATGTATGTATGTATGTATGTATGTATGTATGTATGTATGTATGTATGTATGTATGTATGTATGTATGTATGTATGTATGTATGTATGTATGTATGTATGTATGTATGTATGTATGTACCCCTATGAGATGTATGTATGTTTTGTATGTCAGCTTATGTATGTACAAATATGTCTGTTAAGTTTATGTATGTATAAGCATGTATGTATGTACAATGTTAAGTATGTCTGAGAATGTATCATTCATTCTCCTGACAAGAAGTCTTTTCTCAATACAAATATTCTGTTAAGCATAAGCAGATTAAAATTCATATATCATTCATTAATACAAGCACAGATAAAATCATAGTAAATCAGTCATCTAATCTATAACCCACACGTTGACAACGATGTTGTTCCAAGTCAAGTAGTTAAGAAGTAACTGTCAGAAAAAAAAATGTACTTAAGTTTTACTGTTTACAAACAGTAGTAGTAGTATCAGTAGTAGTAACTAGTAGTCAGTACTTTGTAAAAGAGAACTAACTCACTGGTGGCAGGTAATTATTTTTTTTGTAAATGTTTTATTGCTGTTTGTTAATATTCCAACACTGTCCACGCCACCAAATCCCCAAGACCAACAATGCCAAACGTGCAGTAATAAATCTAGCTCTATGGAGTCTTATTAAGTTATTTTACAGTTGGGAACCTCAGAACTTTTTAACAATGAAATACTCTTACAGTACTGAGTACTGCAAAGTGAAAGTATTTCATTCCAGCAACTCACGTCGAATATGTTTCAAATACACGCAAATGTGATTAGTTGTTATTTACAGCAAATTATTATATAAAACGAGAAATTGAGTAAATATTTTTCGCTTAAAAACTGCAAACTACAGACTAAAGAAAAGTAAAAAGAAAGTTAAAGTGACTGAAGACGAAGTCAAGTCCAAGTGTCGAAAGTCAATTTCAATTTCTCTAGTGAAAACTTTCTACACAGTTTACAAAATAAGTGCTAAAAGTGGACGTCGAGCAGCACACACACAAAATTTACGTCAACTCTGCTAACTAGCTATCTACGGCTAAATTTCGAACAAACCTGTGGTGTCCTGCAAATTAAAAACATCCAAGTTATTGCGTGTGAATTCACAATCGCCTCATCGTAAAGACGCCATCTTATTCCTGCACATTATGTACTTTGCCAGCTAAACGATCCCATTATCATGCCATGCAACGCTTTGAAAACTATACCCATTGTTGAGGTTCAAACCTCTGTCAATTATTCCTTATATTTTGTAAATTTAAAACCTTTACCAAAAGTAATACAATAATAATAATCTTAATAAATTTGTTGTTTTATTAAATTGTTGCAATAAAGTCATGAACGGTCTAATTATAATGGAGGGTAGTTATACTTGACTGCATTAAAATAATAATTGTTTGAGACAATGAGTTTAAAAAAACAATGAAATAGTATGTTAGTATTGTTATAATAACAAGCTATGACACACATGTATACTGATTTTACCGCCATAATATAATAAATTTGTAGCTTTTAAATTCAACAGTACAAACTGGCAGACGCTTTTACAACAAACGAACCAGTTGACGACATTACGAATAGTGAACTTTTGACGAAGAAGAACTTAACTATTTACTGGAGGGAAACGGATAAATGCTGAGGCCATCAAAATAATATATGATTATCCTCATGTGGTTTTCGAAACACCATAGGGGGGGGGGATAAAATATACCCACAGCCTCTAACAAGCATGTCGGAAAATGCGACTAATTAACGATTTGCTGAAGTGGGAACTGTTGGGCCGAAATGCGCTTACTTCGCAGCCTAGTAGAAAACCACAACACAATGTGCCAGCTCCCAACGACGAACGCAGAAGAATAAGATAGGATTACCGCTGAGTCCCAGCATTAATTACATCAATTAATAATCCAGAACTGATAACACTGCACTAGAAACATTCAACACGTGTTCTGTTCCCTTCCTCAGTAACTAACAAAGTATTCTCTATAAGTTGGTGACCAGGCACGATCGCCTCGCATGTGTAAGCGTTATCTCGTCACGATTACACTGGAGATGGTGTCATGTGATATTTTCAGTTTCGCCGCTTAGCTGTTGAGAGTATGTGTGCGCAGCTAGCATTGTTACAATGATTGTAGAAATAGAAACTGTGAGAGGTCACGCTTTTTTTTTTTTTTTTTTTTTTTTGGCTAGAGGGTGATATCGCTTGACATATATTTTTAGAATGAAGTGACAATAGAGACAAAAAATACAAATTATAAATAAAATGCCTCATTAGCGCCTCAAATTTGTTTTCAACCTCAATGCTGTATTCATTTGGCAAATTACTCAAATCAAAACGTATTGGCTTAGCACCTTTCAACACTTTTTTCAGTTTTATTTTAAACTCTGCAACAAGAAGTTTGTGATCAGTGTCACAGTCAGCTCCAGGGAGTGTCTTTGCAGATGTTATACATGTCCTCCATTTTTGTTGTGTTAAAATGTAATCAATATGGTTCCTGCTATTTCCATCTGGTGATGTCCAGGCGTAGAGCCTTCTTGGGTGTTGTTTAAATAGTGTGTTAGTAATACACATATTCTTTTCTATACAGAATTCAATCAGTCACTCCCCAATATCGTTTCTGTCTCCTTTGCCGAATGGGCCTCTGACCATTTCCTCTTCCTCTATTCTACCTCGGCCAATTTTTGCATTAAAATCTCCCATAATGATTTTAATATCTCTTTTTTTCTACCCTTTCTAATGTCTCTTCTAAACTGTCA